TATTTCTTATATAATATATATAATATATAATAAGAAATATATAATAGATTTCTTAAAGAAATGAAATATATTGCTGATGTTTTCACTTGGAATTGCAGCACATCTGATGGTACTACAGTTGTTGCAATCCTGGGAACTCTTCAGGGACTTCCCGGTGACTGTTTAGGAGCTCCCACTTGAGACCTGCAGATTCTTTAAGAGGCTAACGGGAGAGGCTTTCCTCTTCTTCATAAATTCACAGTGGAAGTGCTCTTAAGGTTCTGTAGGACTCTTATTGTATAATTTGATACAAAATGTATTGACACTAGCTAGTGATGAGAGGCAATTCTTTATTTTAGAAATATCTTTCTGTGTTTGCCTGGGCTAATGCCAGTTTTGGGATGCTTTGTTTAACCCATGATAGTTGCATTTTTTTTCATGGAAGCTGTATCAAATTTAAGAAAAAAATAGTCACCGTTTAGGAGGGGAAAAAACCCCAACAAACCAAAGCCTTTCACTGTAATTTAATACCATCAACGTGGGAAAGACACAGAATATAGCACACTTGTAATTTTTAAAAAAACAAAACAACAAAAACCCCACACAAACCAAACTCTCTGATTTAGCTCCAAAATGTGTCTCCGTTTACAGACTATAGCAAATGTGTTTGTTTATTACAGAAGAAAAACAATCCATCTTGTAATAGACTATTAAAACTCCAGCTGAATTGTTAATACTGAGCCAGATTACAGAATGCAAATCTTAAACATCTGTAGCATTTGTAACAACACTTTCAGTAGTGATTTATAGTGTACTTCTAGTGAAGTGACTATGTCAAAAGCAGGTACTAGAGAAAGTAAAATAACATGAGTTATTAACGGTGCATTCTTACATTGTTTGCTTACAATATGCTTTGGATTTTCCAAATAAAAATGTGTACTAAAAAGTGCCTTCCCTTGCCCCTTTGTGAAAGACTTTACCACAAAATACCTAAATCTGCAGAAGTGCCAAGATTCTTGCAGATCTCCAGCTACCCATAAAGGCAAGGACATTTGCATAAGGAGCAAATGTCTGTTTTGTTCCCAGATTACCCTCCATCCATCAGGAGCAGTGATACCATATGTTCACAGAAAAAAAGCTGCAGTATCCCTTGCTCAGGTTGCCTTGACTTCGAGGTGCAGTCTCTGTTTTATAGCTTTGTAATTGGAAGCCACCTGAACCTGAAAAAAGCATTCTGTGCAATGTTGCTGTTTCTAGTTCTTCCTTCAGCTTCAATCTTTCTCCAGAAGCTCAAACCTTGCGCAGATTTTTCTTGATCTTGAATCAGTACATTTTTCTCCTTGCCTTTTACTTCAGGAATAATCAGGACTCAGAGGCGGGGGGGAAATAACCAAACACAACCCCCAAAATATCATTCACTAATGTGTATATTGTTTTAAGTTCTGTAATTACAATAAAAGTAGTTTTCACACTGTTACATTTTGAAGTCTGAGTAGTTATTCAAACTGCCTTTTTTTATCCAGAAAGTCAGCAAAAAAGCAGCAGCGTTTCTGCATTCAGTGTGGCAGAGACACATTATCAGTAATTGAAACAGTGATGGTATAGTGATGGTATAATTCAGAAAAAAAGGCTTCTGATTTAAAACGTACCAAACATTGGTAGGAAGTTCCCAGTGGGATTCAAGTCTGGACTAGAAGTACAAAATGCAGATAAGTTCTGTTGATTCCTCAGTAAGTGAAATCTCAAAAGGCACATTGATATACCTCTCCTTGAAACAGTGATGGATTTTAATAGTTTTTGCCGCAGCTTGTTTTCGTAATAGAGCTGGTGACATCTTTGTTAATGAACTCAAATTGGCTCCTTTTTGGTTTCCTTATGAACTGCAGGATAAAGTTAAAATTTCATCCTTCTAAAATAGTCAAAATTTAAGTGTACATGTCTTTTTCCTAATCTATCTGGTCACAAAGTAAGTTTTCATTAACTGCTGCATTATTTACTTGAAGGTTTTTTATTGCTTCTAGGCTGGAGCAAATTAAAAGCAGGTGATTTATCAAAGTAGAGTGTATATATGTTTGGGTATGGCTGTCAGTAAACATGTACTTTCATTTGTCAGAATGGCTACATTTTACTAAAAGGTGTGCCTCCTTTGAAAATAAGTGCACTTTCTATTTGTTTACCTTACTCTCTGACAGTTTTTTAGATTTTTATGCATATACATTAATAAAGGAACAACAGTAGCAAGTTTATCAGTGATGATACGAGCTAGAGTTTTATCTGGAAATTTGTTCTAGTGAAGATTGCATTTTTTTCTGAAACACCACGTACACAGTTTCCCTTTTACTGTGCGTTTTGTGTCTGACATGAATGTTTCTTGCATGGTTTTTCCTGTTCATTCTTACTCTCTTCATAGTGAGTATCCTCTGTTGCTTTGAATTGGTGTCCAGAGTACTTCAATTTGAAGTCTAACTAGGCTATAATTTTTAATGAAGCCTGTCATCATATAAGTGAGCACACAGATATGATATAGTTTTTAGAATTTAGTTACAGTGGCTGCTATTATGGCTTTGTGTGTGTGTGTGTGTGACAGGGTAACAAAACACATCTTCCCACTTTTAAGTAAGTTCTGATTTTCCTCATAACATTGCTGCTGTTCAGATGCATGCCAGCTAGATATGAAGAGCTTGCTCAATGACATGGTGTTCAGGAAAACTGATCTTCTGTATATCGTCTATTTGTTAAACTGATGTAAAATAGCCACTACCACCTTAAGGCATGCACTTATGGAGCCTTGGTTTTGGACTGGCTCCTGGAAAACCCCACACGGCAGCTTAGACAGGTTCTAGTATGCTGTTGATCTCATGTCAGACCTGTTGTACACCTGACTGTCAGTGATTTCCATTTATACATCGCATCTTTTTGTACTGGACTTACGGGCATGTACAGTGGACATACTGTGTCAGTGGAATTCACTGTTTAAAATCCTCTGTGCATGCAAATGCCCAGTGTTACTTAAAGGGTTAAGACAGCCCCAGAAATGAGGGAAAATGCATAATTATCAATGCTTATCCATTTATTTTATTTTTTTTTAACCAAGATAAGACTTACTTTTATTAACAGTTGATTTGAAAAAACTTTCTGTAAACTAACAGAAGACAGTAAATATGGTTAAGAATAAATGATGAAGTAGCAAAAAATGCATGAAGTGCATTTTATTTTTATCTACTATTCTGTAGTGTATCTCACGCTAGGATTTGATATGAATGTCTGAAACTTCATGCATGAAGTTTTAATTAAACCATTAATGTTAAACATTAACTTTGGTTAGTTAATATTAACAGTGGTGTCTCCATAGTTACATTAACAAATCTGTCTCATATTATTAGTTTTCCTCATGTATGATATTCTTACTGTTGTATAAAGTATTTATAAATGCATGCAATAATGACATGATTCCAGGCTCTTAACTTTTGTAACATAAACCCATTTTCATAAAGCTAAGAACTGAAAGCAGCACAGATGTATGTCTGAGCATAGCGTCTCTGCTGCCCTATGAGCCTTTGTTTTCAGAACACCCTGATTGACCCACCATCCTTCATGGTTCACTGATTCACTTGATAGCTCAAGTTTAAACTAGTGCATATTAGCACATTTGTTAGTACTAGAGGAACAGTTGGCCTTCCTGCTTTAGGCTGCTGGTTCATTTCAAATGGAGCAGCCACAGAAAACAATAACAGAATACCAGTTAGGAGAACACCAAAAGGCTGACAGACTGAAATCAGCCGCAGACTGTAGTAAATGAGATTGAGTCATTCATATAGATGTTGTTAAAGAAAGTTAAAAGACGATTATTATTTAAAAATACTTTTAAAGAAGTTTCACTATATAATTGTGTGAAAGTTTAATTTTTGACTGTTATTCGATATTCTTTCATTAAACTCAGTTGTTTGGTGTGTTATAACATGTCCAGTGCATGCTGGGAATGATAAATAATAATTTTTGTCTTACCATCTATTCATGTCAGTTGAAAATCATCTGGCATAAACAAAACCACATCAGTAGCGTACCGTATCTCTGCTCACGTGCCTTGTTTGTGACACCTATTTCTATAAATAAAATAGTTTAACTTTCTACAAAAGTAAATTGATATTCAAGTAGTCATAAAGAGAATATTATAACACTGTTATCCTTTGAATTCATTTGGTTCTTGAAAATCTCACTAGGATTTATGTATTAACTCTGATCTACTTTTCAATGATAGCCTAATATATAATCATAAATACAGTTCCTGTTTGAGAATAGTTTAATGAATTATTTTTTTGCTTTGAAAAAAAGGAAACAAAAATTCAATTAAGTTTCCTTAGAAATCTAAGAATTTTCTTCCCACCCATTGAAAAGTCTGTATTCCTTTGCCTGCTTATGTTTTCTTTTAAAACTTTATATTGCTACCTGGGACTTAACTGTTTTTCAGTTTTATGTATAAAATTTAAGTGAGCTATCGATGTTTGTTTGCTTTTTTTTCCTTCAGCTTTCTCCTAATGATAGTTTAACAGTAACAAAAAATGAATTGTAACTCGCGCTGTCTGGGTAACAGAATTTATGACTCTTCATCACCTTTTTCTACTTCTTCAAACTCTGTACTCTCCTTCTTTATCCCTCTGTTTTGTGTATTGTAAGTGTGTGTGTGTATATTATGTTTAAAGATATACTTTACTTACAAATTAAAGACTCTCTAGTCAGTTTTTACATTTTTTCGGGCTCTGGGTATTGGTGGGGGTTGAGCATTTAGGGCCGGCTGATCACAGGTAGGAGTTCCTGTAGAGAAGATAAGAAATATGACAGCACATTAATGAGTGTGGCTAAATCTCTTCTCTATTAAATCAAGAGTCCTTATTCTTATAGTTTTCCATTTAATTTCTATTGGTACTTTAGGAAAAATATCAACTAACAGAAATTTTTTTTTTTTGGTCTTAATATTTTTATAACTTCTAAAAGACTGCAATAATACCCTAGCAGATTTCCAGTAAGTCTTGAATAATGATTATTATAACGTCTTTATGGTGATGATTTGTATGCTTTAATAGTCTTTAGGAACTTTTGTGTTCTAGGTAGTCTTCCTTATTTGTGTTGTAATTACTATGATTAGAAATTGCCAGTACGTACCTGCAGTGCTTGTTTCTGTTTCCAGAGAATCAAGAATAACTTGGGTTGGAAGGGACCTCTGGAGATTATCTATTCCAGCCTCCTGCTCAGAGCAGGTGAGCTTCTAAACAAGATCAGGTTGCTAAGAGCCATGTCCAGATAAGTTTTGAAAATCTGTAAGGATGGACATTCCGCAGCCTCTCTGAGCAGTGTGATCCATAGCTTAACTGCCCTCATCGTGAAGAGTGTTTTCCTTATTTCAGATTGGAATATACCCTGCCGCATCTTGTGTCCATTGCCTTTTTGTCCTTGCACCTGCAAGAAGTCTGTCTTGGTAGTCTTTGTTAGTCCCACAGTAGATACTTAAGGACAGCATTTAGATAGATACTCTGTTCTCAAGGCTCTACAAAGCCTGCTACCTCTGCCTCTTGTATGTGGCTTGTTCCAGCCCCCTTGCTGAAGTCAGTTCTCTGTTGGACTCGCTCCACTTGATTAGTCTTGTGCTGGGGGGCCTAAACATGGATGCAGTTTTTGAGATTCAGGCTCAAAAGACTTTGAATACAAGGGCATAATCACATCCTTTGAACTGCTGGTTGTCTTCTTGTTAATGCAATCCAGCAAGCACTTGGCCTTCATGGCATCAATGGCACACTGTTTACTCACGTTCAACTCCTTGTCCATCAGGAATTTCAGATGCTCTCTAAAGAGGTCAGTCCCCAGCCTGCACTGTTAGGGTTTTGCGGGGCCAGGTGCTGGACTTTGTGTTTGTCTTTATTGAACATCTTGAGGCTTTTGTCAAACCTTTCTTGTAGCTAATCAAGGTCCTTGTGAATGGCAGCCCTGCCCTCCAGCACATCTGCTCTCCTCACTAAGTTCCCTGTTTTCTTTTTATCTCCTTTTTAGAGGAGATACTTTCTTAATGTAGGTACTAAGGCTTATTACTGAAGACATGCAGGATTCACCAGGCATTAAGGATTCATCAGGATTAATTTGCCGTGCAATGACATGGCACTGTGTGTAACATTTTGCCATAAATGTAATTAGAAATCTTGTTTTTTATGTACGCTTTCAGATTATAGCAGAAAACTGATCCAGTAATTTTCTTCAGTATCTTTAAGAAATCTTCTAAGATTTACTAACACAAACTGGATAAAGTACTAGTTTTCATTTCCAGATTCTTTGATGTGTTTAAATAAGTGAAAAAGTAATCTATGGGACTTTTGTAATTGTTATGTTTTGATCTTAAGGAATATTTTCCCCTTTGATGCTGAAATAATATTTAGCTATAATTTCTCTGAGGAATTGTTCCTGGTCAGTTGTTGAGGTAGAGTAAGTGGGGAACAGTTTCAGGAAGCCCCAGCTGACACTCTGAAGGCACGTGTGGCTGTAAAAATTGAAGTAATTCTCTACATGGGGCAGGAAAATGTGCTTTCACTCTTGGTTCTTTTTGGAGCTGTGGCCTACTACTAATTTTGTTCTTGAATGCTGAAAGTAGTACACTTGCCAGATATTCTAGCTTTCATTTGGCTAAGAAAGTGATAGTCTAACCTGATACTAAAAGAAAATTTAGAATTTATAAATTAGTTAATTGAATACAAAATTTTTCAAATCATATATTTTAAATAACTACCAAAGAAACAGCAGTATCCGTATGCCAACCGCTTGCTTTTTGTAGCAAACCAACCTGACTGAGTCATGGCAATTGTAGGAATTCTAGAAAAGAGAACTTGAAAAGTAATGTTATTGTTTTAGTATGAATTATTTGCTGTTCAACAAAATACCATATTCCAGGTAATAAAATTACTTCATGGAATCAATGTGCAAGACAAGGTACTGTTTGCATAGCAGTATTTCTCAGCATTTGCTCAGAGTTCGTTACTTCGAAGACCTAAATGCAACTTTTTAAAAAATAAAATGAGCAATAATTCTCAGATTTCTGAATGATATTACTAAGTTTTCTATTTCTTTGTATTTCTTCTGACCTCTTTCAAGATGAGGGCATTTCTTTTGCACTGTTTGATTTACAATCTCGGAAAACAGAAGTATTGGATTGTAATACCAGTTTTGTTGAGTGTTATTGTCATATGCCTGCTGGGAGTGTTTCATATTAAATTGCCAAAAAGATATGTTTTGATGTTTGGTTGGGTTTGGGTTTTTTTTGTTGCCCAATCTTATAACTTCTCCACATTTACCCTGCTCCTGTATCAGGGTTTTAACTAGTTACGACATATACTTTTTTTTTCTGGTTCCTACAATGTTTTGGTTAGTGTGTGATTCATTTCTACTGTTTATTAGCTGTACATACAGAAGTAATCAGTACTGTAATTTTAAGATAAATAGTGCACATCCAAGAAGAAATTGAGACTTTTTTTAGACTGTAATTTACTTATCCTGTTAAAGTACTGTAATGGTTCTAATAGTACAAAATCAGTTAAGCTGTAAAAATAGCTGGGCTGTGTGTAATCTTAAATGTTCTGTGTTTTCTTTTTAGGCTTTCAAAATAGACCAAAATCCTTAAAAGTGTTTGTTAATCCAAGTAGCCACAAAAGAGAAGCCACTCATGTTTACTATGAACAAGTTGCACCTCTTTTTAAGCTTGCTGATATCAAAACTGATGTCACAGGTAAGTTGCTTCAAAAGCATAGTTTAATCCTTTGTGAAAGTAGTACTTAAGCGTGCAAGACAATTTGAATTTACTGCTAATCCTTATTGGCTTTGCCTGCAACTAGTGCGTTTGGAACTGTAGTTAATACAATGCAATATATTTTTATTTAATCAAAAAATGTTTTAGTAATTCTGTTATTCATTGAATATTTTCCCCTATAGCTATCAATACTAGTAATATATTTTTTGTATTTTTTAAAGCAAGCGTTCTGTAAAAAGAAACAAGCATTTAATGTCTGACAGTCTTGTATGTGCTTGCTAAGACTTGTTCCTGCCTTCTGACAAACCCATGTCCTTAAATATTACTTCTCTTCTGAGAAAATCTATTGGCCTGACATCATAAGAGGGGCTTATTGGAAGGACACGTTATTTCTGGATTCTGACTCAGTTTCAGGGATGACCTGGAAGCCTAAGTGATTAAGTTCTGTAATGACAAGGGCGGCTCTCACTAGGCACACGGGCACGACTTGGTGTCTGGAGAACGTGAAGGTACAACTTTAATGTTGTAGTGATGCTGCCTTCTGCTCAACAATGGGTTCCTGATAGCAGGTTTGGATTTAAGGCCCCAATTTCTGCCAGAGTTCTGCTTTATGTCCTGAATTTGCCCTTTGGCTGTTTCATTTGACTGACCTTTTTATAAGAAATTGAACAGGGAAACAATGAATTTTCTTAAAGCAGTAAAATATTAATGATCTGATCGTTACTTCTGCCCCCTTCTGTGAAGAGACGGAAACTTATGCTACATCAAATTTGGTCCCAAAACCCACCCAAGTTAACAGAGAAATATTAGTATTGCCCATTCCAAATATTTTTTTTTATTCATAGTATTACAATTCCCTTTAATACACTGCTAATTTTTGATTATGCATTTCATATCCATGTGATGTGTAAACTCTGGTGCAAGACATTTTAACACCAAAAAGTCTTTTTCCTATGGCTGTTGTAATTGGTTTGCAAAATAATCATTTCCAGCTTAAGCAAATTATAAGACAGAGGGCTCATCCTACAGTTGTCCCTCAAACTTCTTGTGAAATCATGACTAGTTCAGGTTGCAGGCCAAAAATCATTCTGAGCAAATCTGATTTAGGCGTGAGGATATACTAATGCAATAAGTGTTTGTATATGAGATTTATCTTGCTAATTTTATTACCTGTATCTATGTATTTTTAAATTACTTAGCCCACAATTTAAAGTAAAATAAATTGAAGATTAAAGATGCGTGAGAATAAGTGTGGAAAAGATTCAGTCTGTGTTAGAATTCTGTAGTGATAACTTCTTAACGTCCCTTAATTGACAAGTGAATGCCAGCAGCTTTATATAAGTTTTGATTCTCACAGACGTATTTTTTACCTGCAAGACATAGGTGATATTGTAAACAGATTAATAATAATGCTGCCTTCTTAGAAATTGAACTTAGCCTTGTTTGGTCACAATTTTTTAAAAAAAGTTTTTGTCATGCAAACCTTAGTTAGAGATGACTGACTATGTCATATTGTTAAATTAGTTATTACTTTACTTTAAGCAGCTATTTAAAAAAAGAAATGTTATTCCTTGCGACTGGTTAGTGTTTCTTTTATTGTTACTGTGAACATAACCTTGTTTGTTAAACTCTGTTAAAGGCAGCATTATCATTAACCTGTATAAGATTACATTTTTAGCTATGTAATGTCACCTGGAATCCTAAAGCTGAACTAATAAGCCAAATCTGCATCAATAGTTTTTTAGATTACTTCATAGAATTTAATATAAGCTATGAATATAATTTGTAGTGGGTTTAAAAACAGTTTTCATAATTGAATGAAAACAGTTTAAAGTTTATTTTTTATTATTTTTCTTTTAAATTTTGAAAAGAAACTTCCGTTTTTAGCCAGATAAATGTTTAATGGCTTATCCTTAAAGTAAGGTTATTTTGGCAATGTCCAAATACTATTGTGCTTATTAGCTGCCTAACACTCCTCCTACAGGCAAAATGGGAAAACTGCATTACAGTTTTAAATGCTAGTAGTGAACTAAATAATTAAGAACTATGCATTTAAAAAAAAAAAAAAAAGGGGTGGTGGTGGTGGGTGCTGAGTGAAAGTCCTACCTACTGGTACCATCTTCTAACAAAACTAAGTGCCTCATTTCAAGTAAATTGAACTGTTGTTTTTTTTTCCCTCCCATAATTATTTTGGATTTTGTGAAGTTGGAGTGTGCATCTTGCTATTACTGCTTTTTTGAAACGTGGCCAATATTTACATACATAGTGGTGTACAAAGGTGTATTAGGTAGTGAAAGTTGAAGGCTTTTGTACAATTTTTACACTAAAGAGTTTACTTTTAGTCTTTTCACATACACGTATTTAAAGCTTAAAATTAATTGTACACAAAAATATTAAAGCAAATTTGAACCTCTGTCATGGTTTAACCCCAGCCGGCAAGTAAGCCCCACACAACCGCTCGCTCGCTCCCCCTCAGTGGGATGGGGGAGAGAATCAGAAGGGTAAAAGTGAGAAAACTCGTGGGTTGAGATAAAGACAGTTTAACAAATAAAGCAAAAGCCGCACATGCAAGCAAAGCAAAACAAGGAATTCATTCACCGCTTCCCCTCAGCAGGCAGGTGTTCAGCCATCTCCAGGAACGTGGGACTCCATCACACGTAACGGTGACTTGGGAAGACAAACGCCATCACTCTGAATGTGCCCCCCTTCCTCCTTCTTCCCCCAGCTTTATACGCTGAGCATGACGTCATATGGTGTGGGATATCCCTTTGGCCAGTTTGGGTCAGCTGTCCCGGCTGTGTCCCCTCCCAGCTTCTTGTGCACCCCCAGCCTACTCGCTGGTGGGGTGGGGTGAGAAGCAGAAAAGGCCTTGACTCTGTGTCAGCACTGCTCAGCAGTAGCGAAAACATCCCTGTGTTATCAACACTGTTTCCAGCACAAATCCAAAACATAGCCCCACACTAGCTGCTGTGGAGAAAGTTAACTCGGTCCCAGCCAAAACCAGCACAACCTCTGAAGTGACTTCTAGCACATACACAATACAAGACTTGCAGGCTACAAAAAAAAAAACAACAACCCAACAAACTTTGACAGTGGAGTGCTGAAAGACAGAGCTCTCCTCATCTAATCTTGTATTTTGGTAGCTGGCTGTTGCTTCCTATGTGATCAAGCTTGCCAGATCTTATTCTTCATTGTAACTTCTGTTGGAATAAACTTTGTTTTTTAGAAGTTTGGAGTGGAGGTATTCTCTCCTACTCACGGATATAGAGCAGTCAAAAGGCATGTATGTAAATAAGTGAGTTCTGAAATAGCAGTTACTTTCTCCAATTATCTTTAAATTTGGTATGGTTTTCTTTTTTTCTGCCAAATTACTTTGGATACTACAGATGTATTAATTTTAGTAAAATTAACAAAGTCTTAAAGAGTGGATTGTGTTTTGTTGATTTTTTTTGTTATTTTTGTTACATGGAATAAACACATCTCTGAAGTGCTCAGGGCAGTAGAAAGTGGGAATTAGCAAATATGAACTGAAACAGTACGTTATTGCTTAGCCTTAGCTACAGTTACCTAAATCTGGTCTTTGCCAAACTCTTAAAAGACTCTATAATCTTGAGTGCTGCAGCTGGGGTATGGCTGTTAGGAGAACAACAGTAACACTTCTAGAAATCAGTTCAATAAAAGTTTGCTCCACATTTGGGTTACCTACAAGTACTGTCAAATAGTGATAATTGGAGCTAGTATTTTAGAAATATATTAGTATCTTGCAAAATCTTACACATACTGAAGAAAAATAAATAAAGGTAACCTCAACAGACTCCTAGTTTGTCTCGCTTCGCTTCCTAGTTTTGACTCTTCTGCTTCTGTTTATGCACAATTACAAGCTGGATGTTTAGGCAAAAACAACAGCCTTCCCCACATCCCCATTTTTAGGGCAGAATCACAAAGGATTGATTGAGTGTGAAGAGAGTGATTGAGAATTGGACAAATAACATTGGTTTAAACTTACTATACATTAAATAGCATTAATTTTTTTTTTCGTCCAGTGTCAACACCAGTTAATCTGTTGTTATCATTAGCAGTTTTAATCCTATTGACATTAGTCCGTGACACGAGTGCCAGTATTTATACGTGTCATATGGAAGTGTCCCACGTTTTGAAGTGTTGAAATAATCATATGTTGCTTTTTCTATATATAGGGTCTGAACCCTTAGTTTCTTGTTGGCTACGTGAGATAGGGTGTCACAATGTATTGGAGTATGCGTGACTGTTCAAATGAGGTACACTGTCAGTGCCCTTCTTTCAGAATGCTTGAATTACTTGAAACAATGCATACTGGAATTTACAAGTTGGGAACAAAATGTCCTTGAAAAAGGAAAACTTTTTCAATTATGCATTACAAATAGTTTGAAAAAAGCATTAAATAATATTTTTGTGATAATATTTTTGCCAAATGTGTAATCTGAATCCTTCTGAAATGGCGAAAGAAGTTCTTTCTTCCTCTTATCAAATTTATTGTGTGGGGTTTTTTTTGTTTTGTGTTTGGTTTTGGTTTGTTTTTTGTTTGGTGTCTGTCTCCGTCCCCCCCCCCGGAATTGGAACAAGACCAAATATTCAAACATCTAGCTTTTTTCCAGCTATCAGAATGACTTTTACGTGTCTCTCTGGAGGTTGTCAAGCATGCAGAAAACTTTTTAGACATGGTCTTTTTATGTCTGTGTTGGATTTTTAAAATTTTTTTTCCACTTGATCATTTTTCTATATATTCTCATTAAGTTTTTCCTGGAAACTTTATTTTTTCATTACCTTGTTGTCACAATGTTTCAGAATAGATGCTGTGTACCTCTGTCATTGTCTCATCAAATTTTAAATTTCTTGGGATTATCCCCAATGTTAAGCCTTGCAGTAGTCCTCCTATATAATTTCCGAATTTAAGCCGATGCAAAGAGGATGGAGTCCTCATCAATCTGGCTAACACTAGTAATTTTTACTGCCTTTATTGATTTCTCTGTAGACGTGAGTCCTCTTTACTTTCATGTCCTTGTTCTTTGAGTGAATTAATTTTGTAATAGTAAACGTAACTTACATACACTACATTAGGAAACCATTGAGCATGTTTTCTTTTACAAAATAAAATCTTATTTACCATACCATTTTAATTAGATTGTACTCATAACTTTCTAAATGTCATCACGTTCATTTAAAAAGGCATGTAACCGGGTAACCAACTGTATGTTTTCATGGGCAGAGTTCCTTTCACAGTTAAGCAATGGTAAGATATTTGAATCTTTCTGCATTTTTGCATGATGCACAGTTTTATTGGTCACTTTTTTCACAATCTACACATAATGATAAAAGGATAGTTCCTATTGGCAAAAGCAAAACTGAATATGATGGCTTAAATATCGTGCTTTGATCTTCCAGAAGAGGTCCTGCATGAAAGTAAATTCTGTAAATAATTCCTGAAATCTATTATAGTGATAGGTATTTCTGTAGCAAAATGATAATTCTCTGCCTTTGATACAATCAAAATAACTCTAGTTTTTAATTAAGAATTTCCAAAACACCAAGCACTAGAACTTTGCTAATACTGGTTGGGAGATTTTGAAGTTATATGCTGATATACAGTTGTTTAGTGTGAAGTGTAAAAATTTTATCACTTTTACTTTGATTTGTTTTTTTGTTTTTTTTTAAAGTTATATATATACTTGCTATATATACACACATTCTTTTGTGTGTGTGTATATATATAGGGAGACACAGAGGTGTTTTGAATTCTTGTAAACAGCATTTGAATAGTCTGTAGAAATACTGTTATAACAGGTACAGATACGGAATGATTGTTTTAGACACCAAGACTAATAATTTTAACAGTGTTTAGAAACACTGGAGAAAAGCCTTGAACTGTGCTAGCACGAGGGACAGACAAGCATGAAAGATTAATGTAATTTTGCATATAATGATGCACATTCTTACACAAAAAATCCATCTGCAAGTGTCATGTCAGTCACCAAAAATCTTTGATGGGTGGCTGCAGCTGGGTTGTCTCTTCTGGCAAAGCTGGCCTAGAAAATGCTAAATGTAGTTATGATGCTTTGTGCCATCTGTAGTATGCCAGTTTATCCTGTCTTCACTGGCATTTACAGTACTATATACGGTATCGGCAAACACAGAGACATCAATGTAGAGTGACAGATTCATTTCCTCCAGAGGCTATGAACTCTGGTGTATACTTGTGCCACCTTCCTCTGTGTGTTATATTCTGTTGTCGCTGGTATTTGGCTTGATTTCATACTTCTGTGTTTAACTCCTCATATTTTTGATTTAGCAATTTGCATATCCTAACACAAAGGCAATTAAATTTGATTGACACTGAAATAATTCAGTCTTAACTGAGGATATGCTTACATTTTCCTGAAGTTTACCAACTGTGTCAATGCTAAAACTTACATTTTGATGCAACAAACATCTTCTCTAATTCTCTAAATTTAAATGCGCTAAATAGCCATGTGTCTGATGGCAGCTGAGTTTTAATATGTCTTGCCTTTTAGCTAGCATAACTGTAAAACATACCTTCTCATACTTTTAATGCATTTAATGATTTAAAAAAAAAATCTGAAGTGAATTACTGTGTGTTCCTTATGTTAGAAGGGCAAAAATTTAAAAAACCCTTTTAAATTATCTAAGCTTCTGATAATTAAATAATGTTATTTTCCACAGTAACTGAATATGAAGGACATGCTCTCTCAGTACTTAAAGAATGTGAACTCCAGGCATTTGATGGGTGAGTTGGTTAGTGACAATGAATGTTAGTAAACCTCATCACATTAGTTTTCATTTGTATTCCATCCAAAACTATGCTAGTAGGTATTTCATGAGTTACTCTGTTTGACATATATATTAAGCCTGAGAAAAATCAGTTCTCATTAGATGCTTTGTTTTTTATTACTTACTGACAATAGGTTTGTATCTTAGATTCATAAATGATGGTAAATAAACATAACGCTTTCCTAAATATGCTTCATGAAAGCTTCGGTCTCTGTATTTGCAAGAATGATACGAGTGCCTTGTATTTCGCTCTATCCATTCAAGTGGTTCTTAAGGAAGACATTTTATCTAAAAGTAACTTGAATGTTTTTTCCATTTAAAAAAAAACCCAAAACTTCAAACTTATTTAAAGTCAAGAGTGAAAATGCTTGTTCAATCATTTTTAAAGACCTTCCTATGTGGATTAATCCTGAAATCTTTGGTATTTTTACATTAATCATTCAATAATAAGATTCAATAATATATGAGTAGTTTTGCATACTGTGGAAGTCTTACAGGATTCTTACAACTCTTACTGGAATATGCCGTAAGCCATACAAGAAGGCTTAAATAGTGTCTTGTAGTCTAATCAATTTCTATTAATTCTAGAAACTCGGAGTTAGGTAAGAAAATATATCTGAAAATGTATGTATGTATTGCAGATTCTGAGGATAATTTCTTTCTAATTAAGATATGCCTTTTGGGATGCTAGCTGGGGAACCCAGCCCCCCAAACCACCTCAGTTTTTCCCAAATAAAATTGTAATGACAATTTTGGTTTATTGAAAATTAAACCAGAAAATGTATGGGATCTGGTTTGAATTGAAAAATGAATTCCACAACAATGAAATTGTCCTACTGATGAAAAATTACGCTTTTAGCCGTTCTGGCAGCCACCTGACGTAATGTCTTTTCACTATTTCCATTAAGTCTTGAGAAGTTTTACTTGTCTCTTGAGCAGCATTGCTTGTGACTTGGCAGGCTTTAGTTCTTTCCTGTTTTGCCCTGGCTTCCTGTCCGGTTTTGTTCAAGTCAGATACTATATCTGTCACTTAGTTCCCTGTTTAGAAAACAGAATAGCACTTCTGCACCTCCTTTTAGATGTGGAAGGCACTGTATGTGGTGGTAAGAGGTAAGGTAGTTTTTGTGCTATTTCTGCATGGCAGAGTTCATGTAGACCTGACCTGCCTTGCCCAAGCTCGGAAGCCACTGGAGGCGAGTTGGGTTTGGACTGAAGACCGTGCCTGCATGCGTCAGTCTGCTGCTCTTACTCGGCTCATGCTTTTCAAGTGTTGCCTATTGCAGATTGACTGAAAGCTAATTCAAGTAAAAATTTATAAAGGGCAAGACACAACAGTTTTTTATTCATTACAGTAGGTAAGCAGTATAGCAACATACAATTTCTGATCTTGAATTTCTCTCTAACAGTTATGGTTCCTTACGTGTTAAACAGCATATGAAATAAATTTGAAGCTTACGATTTGCAGTAGTAAGTTGGAAGTTTGTATCAGTGCTTTCTGTAAGCAATACTGCTATGTTTTAATCCTTTGTCAAAGCTGTTTGTATATAATTTCTTTTCTCTGATTTCTCCAGTTCCTACTCTGTTTTGCAAGACCATAGGCATATGTCATGTATCTCATCTACTCCACCTCTTTTGCTATCTTTTTTTTTTTCTTACTGACACTGGAAATTTAGGTACTCTGCTAACTTGGCAGTGTGCTTTTTTTCCCCGCCTTGGGGCCAAGCCTTGGTGACAAATAGGGAGAGTGCATTTGTGATGCTGCTATCTCAGCTGCATTTTCTTGTTTGTATAGTGACAGAAATACACAATATACATGCATGCATTCCTTCCCTAATCAGGAGTCTAAGGTATTATGGATATTGTTTAGAGTAGCCCGGGTTAGTCAGACTTTAGTGAATAGTTGATTAAGAAACTTGTGTCTGATGGTTAGACTGATGGTTAGACAGATGTTTCTTCCTCTAAGAAGCCTTCTTCAAGGTCTTAGTCAAATCTGTTTGCTCAAGACTTTCTACTCCTTATGCGTAGCAGGTTCTTGCTGATTAGCTTTGGAATCCCTGGTCCCTGACGGTATCTCTATTTCCAGCCAAAAAGGCAACTCTTGATGATTAATGCTAAATTAATAAAAATTAAAGTTAGAAGCATTTTTATGTTATTCCTTGGACTCTTCATCTATTTCCAATAACAACAAACACAGCCCCCAAAATCAGAAGAAAATATATCTGTTTTCAAAAGTTTTAATAGCCAGAAGACAATCCATATAAGTCCTTCCAGGTGTACAGTTTATCAGACTACAAAGATTAACTGTTTTTGCTGCTGTGGCAGAAACATTTAAGCCTAGGAATAAACCAGTCTAAACCAAAAATGAGACAAAAGACAGGAGATGACTCCTGATTACAAGCAGAAAGAAAATGTGCTCCAAACTTTTGTTATATACTCTTTTTTTTTTTTTAATGTGGGCAGTGTTTAGCTAGATAGAGGAAACATTCCTAAAAATTGAGAAATTAAAAAATAGCTAGGAAATAATAATAGGAACTGAAGAAAAATGTTAAAGGAGCTCAGATAATTTAATTTAAACATTTAATAACATAATAAGTATTTTCTTATAAAGAGCTCACCAGTTTTATCTGGTTGAATTATTGGACATAGTTTCACAACTGCATTCATATAGATACATGAAAAAAAATATTTTAAGTAAGTGCCTCCTAACGTAAATCTGACATTTATATTGTAAATGCTTGTCGTGTACTATTTATTATTTTTATCATTAAAATGTGTTTACCTTAAAAACATCTAACTTTCATACATTACTAATTTGGAGAATCACTTTAATAGTTACTTAAATAAACAAAAACAGAAAGAAAAAAAAAAAAGACGTTTGCTGTAACAGAGCTTTTACAGACAAATGCATTCCTCTCTATAGCCACAGCAGGTGGGAGTTTAATTACATGCTCCAGAAGCAGTGATTAAGTACCTTCATGCAAAGGATTGCTTGGCACTAGGGTTTTATACCTTGCTAAATCCCTCAGCTGCCTGCATAGTGTGTGGAATTAGCTGTTTTCAAGTATTTTTAATTTTATTGTAATATTTGGTGAGTTGTTATTATAAGGGCAATTAAAAAGCATTGGGATGCTTGTGTGGGTCAGCACTGAAAGATTTAAAGAACTTTTCCACTGAGGCACTTGAGCATGTGCTTAACTCTTCCATCTGATCAGTTCACATGCATAACGTGTGATAAGGCAAGAAATACTCTGAAAGTTGTTAAATGTATTTACTCCTACTCAGATAGAAGAAAGCAGAAATAAGGATGCTTATAACTTGCTAGCTAACGTTCACTGATCTGGCAGTGAGGCTCTAGCTTGTTCTTAAAGAAAGAATGGGTTTTAGCTGTTTGAAATATCATTATGTAGATGGGATGTGATAGCTACCTTCCACTTATTTGCTCAGCCATGGAAGAGTTTAATTTGAACTGTTTAGCATTTTTGTTTTGTAATAGGGTAGTTTGTGTTGGTGGAGACGGATCTGTCAGCGAAGTTGCTCATGGTCTACTACTTAAAGCCCAGATAGATGCTGGAAAAGACACAGACTACATACCAACGCCAGTCAGAGCACTGGTTCCTCTTGGAGTAATACCAGCAGGTGAGACTAAACGGTACTGTTACATTTTGGAAGTCATCTGTTTTAAGTCCCTCTGGTATGTTTTACGGTTTTGGCTGCTAAAGGCAGTTCTTGGTGCTAAAGCTTCAGTTACTTAAGGGAGCTATTGAATAAATGTCCTAAATTAGTGATTTAGATTGATTACAAATGACTAGATTTTAAACCATTATGATAATTTATAGTAATGGCACAGATGAGCTCTTTGCCTAAAGGAAGAAGCTCAGGAAGAAGAGCTTCTAAAATAATTTTCAGCTGATACATGCAAAGATCAAGTTTTGCCCTTATTTGCTGCCAGAAATTATATCAAATAAAAACATTGTTTTCTAGAATTTCCTTAATATAAGCCATGCTGTTTCGCTTCTCTCTCCAGTTTTCTTGGCAGGATTCTCAGTTGGATTCATGCTTAGGGTCTATTTTTAAATGTGTCCCAGGAATATATTTTGTGGATTATATTAAAACAAAAAAAATACTGTGCACACAAAACTGCTCTCTCTCTCTTTTACTTCTACAGACCTGAAAATGTATGCATCTCTCTCGAAAAAATCCTCTTGCTCCTTTATTAACTTGTACTTGCATCTTGTGGTGTGATTTGGTTTTTTGGGGTTGGTTTTTTTGGTTTTGTTCTGGTTTTTTTGTTTTGTTTGCTTTGGGGGTGTGTGTGTGTCCCTTCTCCCGTTTTTTGTATTTGCCCTTCTTGGAGTATAACTTTGGCCAGGCAGGGAGAATTAGTACAGGCAGGGTTGATTCTGGACTGGTATATGAGTCACTTCTCTTTAAAAGAGGAAGGGTATTTTTTGCATGAACCCTACCCTCTGGTGTGGACGTCGATGTGACTACTTGACGTAATTTCTCAGAGGTTTTTAACTAGTAAGGAAAAAATTCCTGCAGCCAGGTGAACAGCAAATCGTTGTTTTCACTTTTCTACAAAAAAAGGAGCAAGTCACTTCCAAACTGAAGCAAGCAGGTTTTAAGTGCTCTGACTTGCTTTGCACCTCTAAAAGCAGCATTATGACAGGGACTAGTTGCTTGTAAAAATGCAAGATTACACTAGCTTTTTTCAAGTTAAAAAAAACTTGGAAATATATTGGTAAATGATACAGTAATCTCAAAAACGTGAAGCAAATGAATTTTAGTAGAGCAGTTGGACCATCACTTATCAGTTCAGTTGCTGTCAATATCTTGATGGTGTTGAGACGGAATCTCTCCAGCGCTTGACTCCGTGCTGTTTGGGCGTGCTTAGGTCACTGTGCCTCATCATTAGTGCTTACTTTCTTCAGTTTAAGACAAATATGTCATGATCAAAAAGGATTTGTAAACCCAAAAGAATGCTGTACGGCTTGTTACACAGAATGCCATAGACTTTGTTAAAAGAGGGTGAGAACAATTTATAGAATGGTAGTGTGAGAAACTCCTTAATAGGTTCTTAAAAATAATCTAAGCTTATTTTATTTCCAGGTTATTGATATTCCAAAAAGTAGTCAGTTAGGAAACAGGTAAGTATGATACTTGTGTACATGAAGAAGATGGAACTCAGTGGTCAGTTAATTCCGCCCCCGCCCCTCCCCCCCCAAAAGCCATTGTACCAATTTACTAGGATTCTCCAGCCGAGTAAAAATAGGAACTGTATTACGGGATAGCATTATCTGAGTGGCTTAAAATCTGGTTTTAGCCTCTATTATAAGTAGTTAAGACAGCATTTTGAAGTTTCAGCCAACTTGATGGGAAGGAGCTGCTCTTGAAACAGTTTACCTCCTGAAGAGAAAGGTCCAGAGGGGAGTGTGTTTTTACTAAAATACTCTACTGAGCTGCCTTATTCTGGTCCAGATCAAATGGATGAGATGTGGGGAAGCCTGCAGTTGTACTGCTGGCCATTAGCAAGAGTGTTTGTTGCTATGGGAACTACTGCTAAGAAACTGTACGGAGGGGGAATGGGAGAAAGGGGAGGGGGAACTGGAAGGACATTAGAAAAGCTATCCAGTTGTTACAGAACAAGAGACAATCTATATCTGATGACCGGGAACCTTTTGGTCATGAACGGTTCATTTAAATAAATTCATGATTTCCAATTAATTCAGAAAATAAAATATTACTGAGGGACTGTTAATTTCTGTGATATTTCAGGCAAAGAACCAAAATGTTGGTGCGGTTTTCATCAGAATTTTAGCTATGCTTGACTAGGAAGTCATTACATCACATTTATCTGTTTGGATGGGGGAGACATTAACAGCCTTATGAATATTCATGTTGTCTGGTTAATTAAGTTAATTGTACTGCAGAAGTGCTTGCACTTCCAAGGACAATTTTTTTCTCCACAATTTCTGTTTGGTACCTTCATCAGTCATGCTTTACATGACCTGCAGATACTTTGTCCTTACTGTGACGCTTTTGCACATTTCATCGGAAGGAGGTTGTAGGAAGTTGTTTGTAATGTTGGGAAAATGGGTTAATATTTTGAACAGAATTGTATTTTTTGAATAATAAAATCTCCTTTGTTTCTGTTTAAAAAAATGTTGGTGACAGAGATGTTGGAGTTGTATGGATGAAACCTTTTTACAGTAAATTGAGTAGTTGGAGTGAGATCTAAAAATGTGGCTGTTAGTAATCTGTGAGGGGTGCAAGCCCATATATGAGCATCAAAGAAGGTTATTAGTCCCTGAAGTAATACCACAGTGTTCAGGGGCACCATCTTGTTATTGGTAAATAATATTCCAAGCTTACATAGGGGAGAAAAAGGTTTAGATGACTTGGGAAGATGAATAACGGCATTGAAACCACTATTATTGAATCACCACTTAAATCAGCAAAACTTATATTCTAATTTTTTTTGTATGATAACTTTCATTGTTTTGGTTCTGTTTATAAGCCTGCTTTTTTGTGTGCCATCCTGCTCGTATAGGACCTAGGTAATGAGACACATTATTCAGTCATTACTGGAATCAAAATGCTGTTAGGTGTGTATTAAGAGTCTTTTAGAGAAGGTGAGGGTACTTGCTACTGCAAAACTGTGCATGTTCTAGATCTTCAACTTGTGGAAGGGTGGATGCATTACTTTGTTTTTGAATGCAGGCAGAACTTGTTTTATTTTCCCAGGAGTCAGGAAAGGGTGGGGTTTTGCCTCGTTTACTTCTGCAACTGTTAATGAGCTCCACCGATTTCAGAGAAGGGTGCAATTACTTGTGCCTATCCTGTTTAGTAAGAATGAGATTTAACTCTCATTAAAGTCAGTATGAAGATTGGTATTGACTTCAGCTGTGGTCACTTGTTATCTTACTGCCATCTGTATTGATAAATTACTCTTACTTAACGTGAGGAATCGCAGTCTTAAGACATACCAAGCCTGATCTTCAGAAGTATATTCTGCCTTGTGCTCTTTGTTAGCTTGATCTTCAGTGACAAAGAAAAATATTTTTTCAGAATAAACTTCCCTGTTGTCAATTTACAGGAAATAAACACGATTTGCAGGACTTGTAATGATCTGCTCTTTGTGTGTGTGATTTCCTTTTGTTTTGGAGAGGTGCCCATAAAAGTTGGTAAGAGTTGGGAAAATCTGATGGAAGGAAATATTTGAGTATTTTTAAGCTACTTCTTTAGCTAGCTTCACTGACTAAGCAGAATTAGTTGAATCTAGAGGTTAAATGTCATGTCATTCAAACATGAAATGGTGTTGGGCATATACTTATATTATTGTGTATTGTTGTATTATTGCTTTTTAGGTCAAACCTAATTTTTTTGTCCCTGAATTTTCCTTATAGAACTGTATTTGATGTTCACTGAATTGAAAAACTCACTGTTTTGCGTAGCAAATAGTATCTAGAGCTACATTTTTTGCCTTTTCTTTTTTATACTTATTGTACAGAAAGGAAAGTTCAATTACTTTTACTTGAGTTGTTGGATATAAGTTATTGGATATAAATGATTGAAATGGTAATATTCTTAATAAACTGAACTTCCTGTTAGTGTATCTAGAGAGACTTTCTTTTGGGAGAAAAAAGCGAAGACTTGCATTTAGCTTTTGGAGTTGTCAGTTTATTCTTCTTTCAAAGTACTTCAGAATCCCAATTTGCTGGGTTTATTTAAACATTACTTTTTTTTAGGAAAAGAAGAAAGAAATTAATAGTATAGTCACCTATAAAATTCTGAGAAATATGTGAATGAAATGACTTTTTTTTAATTGTTCAAAGAATAAAACTCTACATAACCTGATTTGTTCCATGTACCACTGGCGATGTAAACTTCAACAAATGTTTTGTATCTGTTATCTTAATAGATGTACCTCACTTACTTCCTTCACGTAGTAGGAACCCTGACAGCCTTACTTGGAGCTCCTCTCTCTGATGTTATGAAGGCTTTCCATGAAGTTCTGAGTATTCTGAATTACTTTCAGAGACTAAGGTGCTCTAAGGACGTAACAGGTGCTCTGTGAGATACTGAGATACAATTACCAGTTATTTTACAAATTCTTATTCAGAGAAAGTATTGAAAAAATCGAAGCATATACTCCTGAATAAGAATGACAAGATGCCTTTAGACCTTTGTGACTATGTACATCAGTCTCTCCAAATTTAGTATTTTTTTTCTACTCCTAATGTGACATCAAAGATTGCAGAGTTTTGGGATGAACATAATTTTCCACTCTGGTGCAGGATACTTTTAAAGTGCTTATTTAAATATTGAGTGCCTCTTGTTTGAAATGTGATAGTCTTTCCCTTTCCTCTCTTCTCTCCCTCACTTTTGAAAGACAAGTTTAAATGTTTCCATAAAACTTAAGGCAAATTTAGCATCCAGAATTGTCTATTGCTGCTGTAACATACTAAATAATGCAAACAACAAGGAGATTATTTGAAAATCTAACTGAGCTCATTTCTTTATGGAATGTTGGGTTCTAAATTGTTCTTTTGTAATTTTTGTTATTTTAATTAATCTGTTATTGAATTATTCATCCCTTAATCAGTGATATGAAGAAGCTCAATATACTGCCTGCGGGGTGGCAGGTCCTGGTTCTTTATTTTTGCAGAAGTGAATCCTATGGCCCTGCTGCTTGGCTAAGAAATGCCAGAGATGTGATCAATGAGAAAAATCAGCTTGAAATTCTGTTAAAACCATACCCATTTAGGAAAGACGCAACCATTCCTTGTTCAGGATTTTTAAAATAAATTGCTCTTTAAAAGTCAGCTGATATGCAGGTACACAATGTCCTATACGTTAAAGCAGAAGGGCAAAATTTACATGTATGTCCATGTTTCTTACACAGGTAAAGTGACTTGACGTTATCAATCACCACCAAACATGGGTCTCCAGAACCGTGCTTCTTTCTTTTACAAACTGATAGCTAGTTTTCCACACTCTCTTCCAACTCCATGCTCACATTGCTAGTTCTTGACATTTTTTTCTATTTACCAGCTGATTTACTACTCATTCCCTTGTTTCAAAAGAAATTAATCTCTTCTATCCAGTGACTAGTAGTACAACTGGTCTGCCAATGTCCAAGCAATGACAAAGACAACTTAGATGGGTCAGTTTTAATGCACTGAATGCAAGTCAACAATTTATCAGACACACATCAAATTCTATGTTCTCTCTGTTTTTCAGTCATTAATGTATTCTCATATGTAAAGCTGATGTGCAGTAATTAAGTTTATTCACTATTGCTTCTAAGAATCTAAAATGTAGCCTGCAAGAGGCACAGCAGCTATCTTAGACTAGATCTAGTAGAATTTTGTCTGGGAAACATACAGTTTTACACTGGCTGGGTATTACAGTATTTTTCCAACTTAAAAATACTCCCCAAATATATCTTATTAGATAAACTGCCTAATCTGTACAGTTCCTCAGTACAGCACTTAGGTATAGGAGAAGTGATTTTTAGGGAGATTGTTTTTTACAAAAAAAAAAGGAAATTTTTGCAAAGCTTTTTTTTTTTCTCCCCCCCCATTGGTTTTTATGGCACTTATGAATGAATTTGTAGAGAGGATTTTATAGACCTCTGGAAGTTTTAATGGTTTTAATTTGTACCATTCAGCATTTCTGCTGTTACCGAGACTAAGTAGTTTGTGGGGAGGCTTTCCTTTTTTTGAAAATGCAGTAAATGTCTCAGTTTCTTCATTCAAAAAATGTTGTATGTATTTTTTTCTTGCTATTCTGTATCTCTTATTTTTACAATTGTTTGTGTTTGCTTTTACAGGTACTACTAATATTTTGGCCCACACTCTCTATGGTGTTAAGCATGCAGTGACTGCAACATTGCACATTGTAATGGGTAAATATTTTTACATACATTATCAGATTTTAAATAATGAAGCAGCATTTAGAAGTCTGCCATAACCAGTGGTTTAATAAAGGCATACCACTATGCTATATCACTGTAAACTATATTGTAAGACTTTTAAACCCAAATGATTCTATCCTGATTTATAGTGTACTGGAAAGGTTATGATTCTTTGAGTATAGTTTAGTAGCAAAGGTTGTGGACTTCATCTTCTGGTAACTAAAATCTGCCATGGAATAATGTCTGACTTTGGCATTCATGCCCTATTACTGATGTTCTTTTAATGCAAAAAGTAACTTTTTCCAGACTTGATGGTGTGAATAGTGTTACTCTGGGTGTGTTATTAAGCAATGATTGGTTGTGTAATCACTTGATTATTTTAATTTAATGTACCTGCGGAAAACAATAGGAAAATATACAATACTTTCAGCTTGAGGAAGTGGTTACGATTGGACTTTTCAGGAAAGTATTGTCATATTTCTGAGAAAGTATCATTCATCTTTTTAGCTTTGTGTGCATTTCTTTTAAATACTAACAGTTGCCATAAGAAAGCTTTATTAGTAGAAAAAACTGTATCACTTGCCATTTGGTCTGCACAATAAATAAGTTTTTGAATGTGAAGATGTAATTATGCTAAAAGGAAAAACTAGATTGCTAGTCCAATCCTTATTTTCAGGTCTTAGGAAATAGCAAATACTTAGTTGAGCAATGTTAATATTCCTCGGAAAGCAATTTTTCTTTAGGGTACTTCCCCACCCCCACCCCACCCCCAAATAAAAGAATGAGAATAATGGAGAAGGTCCATCTTGAGTATCTATTTTGTAGACCTTGGAGTCAGCAGTGGAAGAGCCTTTGCTCTATTTCTTAGACAGTAATACACAAGCCTTTACAGGTAAAATCTAAACCTGTCTTTTTTAATCAGAGACAGTCAATCTAATGGAAACCACCCAGGTTCTATTACAGAAAAAATTTATATACCCTATCTTGAACAGAATTGGATGTCTAAATTCTATAACTGTAAGCATAAATACATTTAAAACCTATATTTAAGAGCTCCCATATCTCCTCCAGTACAATGTTCAGTCATTACAAATATTTGGTGAAATGGTTGCAAATATTTATGTCTCAATATTACATTTTCTTCGATACTAGTTGTTGAAAATTTGAATAGAATTGAGTCAGACACTTTGCAGCCTGATGAAGTAGCTGAATTTTCACCTTAACTTTTTTATCATTTTGAAGCATCTGAACGTTGTTCTCTGAAATGATTACTTTTATAAGGTCTTAATTGTATCTAGATTGATTCTGGTTTCCATTAGTAAAACTTGACTTCCTAAAGAGAGAAGAGTCTGGAGTTTTTTCTCTGCAGCTAAATTAGGTGAAAAAGAAATGGTAAGTTTTATTCTGTTTGAAATACAGATGTTATTTGTAATTTCTGATCTTTATCTTTGAAATTTTAGGACATATTCAACCAGTAGATGTCTGTACTTTCAGTACTCCAAGCAAGCTTTTGCGGTTTGGGTTCTCAGCTATGTTTGGTTTTGGTGCACGGACTCTAGCTTTGGCTGAAAAACACCGTTGGATGCCCTCCAATCAGCGGAAGGATTTTGCTTTTATCAAAACACTGGCAGATCTCAAGTATGCCATGAGCTGTTATAATTTTCTAGTATTTCTCATTTTCTTGAGGAAAATGCAATAATTAATGTGGTAAAAATATCGACAACAGTAATTTAGCTATCTTGACTTAATTGCAGACAGATTTAACTCAGATGTGATGTATATCCCTCTTACGAGTTAGAGGAGCTAAGTTCTGTATATTCAGCATCTCCTTAAAATCATCTTAACTTTGATAAAAGTCTGTCTAGCAGTCAGAATATTGGTTTACATGATAGTAAATATCAGTACTTTTCTAGGCCAGAGGAATGTGAATTATCATTTCTACCTCTACAAATTCCACAGGAAGACTCTCATGAGAATGACAGGTAAGTAAAACTGAGTCAAACAATTCCAAAGCTACAAAAAGACGTGTCTTTGAAGATAAAATTGTACAGATTATTAATTTTGTTCAAATTTGATCATCAGGTAAAACATTCTTATAAAAAAAAAAAAAAGATTTATTTTGACAACTGTAAACTTGTATGCTTTGTAAAACGTTCCCTATAGACTATAGAGGATTTGTTACAAAGCAGTCTTCCACTCAGTATTACTGGTTTGTTCAGTTCCGTTTATCCTTTCTTCCATTGAGATCTTACTTTTTTTCAAAAGTAGGTGTTGTTTAAATGTGCTAAAATAACTTTAAATTATTTTACCTACATGTTTTCACCCTTTTAGAAAGAAGAAAGAGAAAATTAAAAAAAAGGGTGAGTTTTTGCTTTTATGATTATTTAAAAGTGAACTGAAATGTTAAACTGGAGTAATATAGAATTACTCTGTTATATTTAGGTAGCAAGGATCAATGGCACAAAATTCAGGGTCACTTCCTGAATGTGAGCATTATGGCAATCCCTTGTCTGTGTTCAATGGCACCAAGAGGCTTGGCACCTAATACGAGGTCAGTAGGGGTTTAGAGAATTAGTCATGTCTATAAATTCTGACATCTTACCTTAAGACCTTGGCTTTTCCGAGAATGCGAGCCTGTGTTTTAGGTAGTCTAGACCTTCTGGAATGGGGGAGGGAGCATGGACTGCAGCAGACTCGATAATCCCAGGAACTGTAATCAGGTTTTGGATCAGGCAAATAAGGTCAAGCAGTCTAACTAGAATAATGAGTGAATAATTACTGTGATTAAATTAGTTGGCAAGTCTGACTTAAGTAGTAGTCATCGAGCAGTCATCTGTCATAGGATTTGGCTATATGTAGAAACTGCATTCTTGGATTTTATTTTTTCAAATATAAAGGTGCCCCTCGTCTTCTGCTTTACAGCCAGCAAAAATGAAGTATGAATCTTTCTCCTGTTATGGAGAACTGAAATTCACACTTGTCTTCTGTCTTTTTTTTTCCCCCCTCCTCCCCCCCTCCCCCCCCAAACTTGGGAAATGCAGCTTCTGCATGTAGGGTTTTGGGAAACAAAGGAGTATGTAATCTGGTTGTTGACATTGACTCATTTTGCCTTTAGCTCATTGTTGGGAGCATGCTTTGCAGTGATCAAAACAGTTATCAGGTGATAAATGTTTGTACTTGATGTATCCAGTTGATGATTAAGCAGAATAGCAAGTACAAACTTTGTAGTTGTACATGAAATACAACATGCTCCCTCAAAAAAGAATGCAGAAACTCTCGTGTGTGTGTGTGTATCTATTATAAAAAAACCACAACCAACACTCAGGGAAGTTTATGGAATGAGTCTGTTTTGTTTCATTTGATTATCATTAGGTGAAAATAGATGTGCCTTAGAACTGATCAGGTATTTTTCTTCAAAATTACTGGCTGATCTGGTAGAATTTGACTTCTTGGAAACAATGTAGAAACAAATGTTTTTGATGAAACTCCTATTGAGAAGTTTTCTTTGCTACAGGGTTCCTGCTAAGCCTCATATACCTCAAGATAGTGCCCTGATGCTGTCCCCTCTTAGGAACTTACTGTGTTCAGCATTTAGTGTGTTATATACCAGTCAGTAGACAAATTCTGACAGGAATTGAAGAAATTAGTCTTTTTTAGCTTTGCTTTCTCTTTCCATCTGTTCTGGCACCTGTTTCCCAGTGACAGGGAATTTTATGACAACTCCATGCAATTATTGCAGGTTTGAATGAGCCTGTTTCTCCCACAGTGTAGTTGCTCAGTGAATCCCCCTATCCTTTCACATATAAGGACATGCTTTTTTTTTTTCCCCTCTCTTTTTAAAAATAATCATCTTAGGTGTGCAGTCAGCTAGTAGGGTAGGAAGAGTAGACTCTTCAGACAGGTGCTTCGTTTCTCATAGTGAATAGCATCTTGACTGTAGGGCTTTTTGATACGGGGAAACACAAATGTTGCACTAATTGTTAGAGACTCAAGACCCGTTATGGAAGCGTCAGTTAAACTCAGCTAGGTTTCTTCACTCTGTCCTGTTTTCCCCATATGAAGACATTTGAAGTGGAATGAAAGCTTTGACTGCTGCCTGTAGCTCTAGTTATTCTAGTCTAAATTTGCAGAAACACGTCAAGACACGTTTAACTGTCTGCGCTATTTGAGCCATGTGGGGCATTTGTTTCTCATAGCATAGGTGGTGTGCTCCAATGCAGATTGGAATTTCAAGAGAATTAATGAGAATTCTTAGTCATCTCTGAAGATAAAAGGCCGTACTGTCGAATGCATTGCCCAGTAGCCTGCTGTGCCCTTTTATTGCAGCAAGTGTGATAAGGAGGCAACTTTTTCAATTTCACCATCACTGTTTTCTAGATCAGCAAAGTAATGCTATGACTTGTTTATAGTCACATAACAAAACTGTGACTTGTTTAATGGTTATGTAAAAATTATCTTCCTAGATTGTGCTGTATCGTAGTCTGAGAACATTCCTGATGCAGTCGTTCAGTAGCCAGAGAACTATGAGTGGGGAGAGATCTGTGGTGGTAGGCCGGAAGTATTTTTTTTTTTTAAACATTCTTAACATATTTTCTGAGCATACATGCTGAATAAATAAATATATATGTATGCATATATATTCAGAAGATATGAAATACATCGTCTATATATACAATACAATCTCAGCAGTCATTGTCATGTTCATCATCATTGTCATGTTCATCAGATGCTCTTGTTGACTGGTGATTTGTCTCTATAACTTAAACAGGACTTAGGTGTGATTGCATTGAGATGCAGATGGCTAGTTTCTGTGACAAGGTACAGTTGCATTAAGGAATCTGAATTGATACTAGCTCATTGTCTGAGCCAAATTCTCAAAGGTGCTAAAATATCAATGGCGACTAGATACCTAGGACCACTGAGTATCTGCACTGTAGGGTCTCTTCTTTAATGTCTAGTATATGACTGTTTCATCTTGTACAAAATTCCCTTCAGTTTTTAACTTTTTTATGTGCTTTGTGAAATGTGTAAGTAGAACTGTACGGAGAATTGCTAAGAGAGTTTGAACAGCGGCATAGTTGAAGATCAGGATCTATGTTAGGGCAGCAGGAGTGTTAATGGAGGAGGTGAAGGAATCCATCTGCACTGGGTTATAAGATGGGGATGCGCTTGCATGCATCATGGGAATGGTTTCTTGGTAAAGCTCTACCTCACAACATTTGTGGTAATCATTATACTTTGCTGGAGAGAAAAGCGTAAAGACAGATTTGTGATCCCCGCTGTTTAAAAATCACCTGTTAAGTAGAAAAGCAGTTTTTTAAATTATACATGTTCAATAAATTCTAGATATTGATAAGGGAGTACAATTTCATTATTACAGTGTATGTTATAAATATAGAGATGCTAAATAACCTCAATTGCCTAGTTTATATTGATCTATAGAGGGTGGGGTAGGTTTTTTTTTTGACAGAAAGATTTTAAAAAAACATTGAGACTATTCTATTAATTTACTCTTGCTAGCTTTTTTTTTTTCTTAAATGTAGACTTTTGAAGAGCCTGTTAAACTTCCAAATTAATGAATTTACTTTTGTGAACTAAGTTGGTCTGCTTTTCAGGTTGAATAATGGGAGCATGGCTCTTATTGTTGTACAAAATACTTCTCGAACAGAGTTTATAAAACATCTGAAAAGATACGCCAGCGTAAAAAATCAGGTACTGTTAATTTCTTTCCAGTAGTTATAAAAAGAACAGTTAATTGTGAAGGTAGGCATGCTGCAAGAGTTAACGTTAGCATCCTCATAAGGAGACTTAGCTTCCTGTCAGAATACATTAGCCCCCTTTTTATCTGATTTTTTTTTTTTTTTAAATCACTAGACTAATACCGATTAGCCTATTTCAGCCCATCTGTTGTGGTTTAAATTGTATTTGTGTTGTACCATAGTTTTATGGGTGTAAAGCCCTTTCACCACAATAAAGGAAATGCATGCTGTGTTTAAATTTTGTGTAGTACAGAGATAAAGAACACAGACTGGGGGGGCATCATGGAACTCTGTAAGAAATAGGTAAAGTCTGTAATTTCAGCAGATTGCTGCATGCTATGCTGGTAGCAGTAGCTTATGACCACTGATTTTTAGCAGGTATGCATTCCATGTAGTTATGAATGTTTGCAGAACTGCATTTCAAAATTTTGGTCGTTATTCTGTCTTCGAAGAGAAAAACGAAGCATCCAAACACAGTGCCTTATTGCTGTGCGAAATACGCGATGCCTAGCCTAAGCGTACTGGTACTCACTCAAATGTTTCGGGATTATGTGAAATCACTTTTACAAGAAGGTTTAGGTTTGAATTAGATAACTGTTCAACAGTCAGAGAGTTTGGGGGAGAGGTGGGTCACAGTTCCATGTGACAGCACTAGCAGCTGCATTTAGGAAGTAGTTTATGCTTTCCGGTTATGCTTTTGGAGGAAGGCTTTGCTTTTCTCTCTGCCTTTGTAGTTAGAAATTAGACAAGGAGATGTGGACCCTCCTTTAAACTTAAGATGACCATTTACTGGAATTCTAACTAGCCTCATTTAGGACAGGATTACTGGTAATGATGAACGGAACACAGGAAAAAATCTGCTTGGACTTTCACATGTTCTGAAAGAATGTGCCATTTTGGCATGTGCAAAATATACCACCTCACCTGTAAACCAAGCAAGTCCTATATGGGAATGCAAATGGACAGTACCATTTTTTCTGAGGCACTATTTAGGATAAAAATAGCATGTTAATCTATAAATGTTAGCTGGAATATATAATGCCTCGTGGTCAAAACTAGAGTTAAGTGTTCCCATTTACTTAAGACAAAAAAAAAAAAGGCAAGCTCTTTAATTTCAAGTAATCCAGTTTGTTGCTAAGCTACCACCTATATCTTTCGTCTTCATTTAATATATATCTGTGTTTGGTTTAGTTCAATTTTCCCTTTGTTGAGACCTACACAGTTCAAGAAGTAAAAGTACAACCGAGGCTTAAAAGTGGGCTTGATGCCAAAGAAAATACATATTTGAATGCTGCTTCTGCAGAAGGAAATTACCCTTGGAACATAGATGGAGACTTAATGAAAGAAGCGTCAGAAGTTCACGTTCGGTAAGGCTAAGTATTATGTTTATGGACTGTACCTGTAACAGATAGTACTGCAGTCTTAAATGTCTGTAATACAGATGACACCCAAACTGGGTGTTGTACGTACTGTAAGAACAGTGCTTTTGTGCGCTTTTGTGCACTGCACAGTCTGGCCCCTTTGCCATTGTTTGGGCCTCTGCCCTGTTGCCTTGTTGCCCATCTTTGGAAAGGTTTGTTATGACCCACTTGGCCTTTCCTTTCTGGTGCTTCGTCAGCTTCCAGCTCCACTTCTTCTCTGCTTGCTGCCTGTTAGTTTACCCTTCTGTTTCTTAGAGGAGAACAGAAGTAGATAAAGGCTTGTGACTCCTGGGAGGAGCTTCTTTTGGGATAAGGATTCCTGCTTGGAAAGCAGTGTGTGTAACCTTAATAAAAACATGTAGTTGTTCAATTGTGGGGAAACTCAGTGCTGCTTGAGAATAGTCTCCGCATGTAGGATCAGAGAAAGAGACTATGAAAAAAAAACTCAGTGGAATTAAATGGGTGGCGGCACATTCTTCTGCAACGCACACAGGATTAGTTGAAGGTGCAGAGCTCAGAGTAAGAGTCTGGTATGTAAAGTAAAAGGCAGATCATGTTACAGGATATATAACATATACATCTAAAGATGATCTTATAGGAATTATCAAAACGTAATTCACCCCAAAAGTGGCACACCCATCTCACGAGTTAATGAAGTTGATAAAGTTGGACTTCCTCACTTCACAGGGTGCATCCTCAGCTTATTAATCTCTATGGAGTGAACACTGATGACCTGGAGAGTTTCCAAGCAACATGCAGTTGCATATAGAAGGGACACACTGCAAGTTCGGTATTAAAGAATCCTTTTCTCACCTCTATGCGCAGCTTTCCAAGGTCCCAGTCTTTCACTCATTGAATTCAGTTGTTGTAGCGGAAGCTTAACTGGGATGTTTGTAATATTTCTGGTTTTAAATTTTTTTTATCAAGTTATATATTTTTATCAGGTTGTATTTAACTGTAAAGAAACAGGCTTAACAAGAAAAAATAAAAACTGATTGTATTGGTCTCTTATAAATTTGGGGTCTGAGAAGTGTCTGTCAGAAGAAAATATTTGTTTTTCCTTTAAAATTGTTCTAGCTTTTGCGATAAATATAGTATGAGATACTTTTAAGGCTGCTGCCGCTATCCATGTTGTCAGGTGACTCAGTTCAAATAGAGGTGGTGAGTGGAGGTATGGTACCACCTCGTGCTGAAGAATGGTGACAGAATATAGATGTATTTATTTATTTTTTTTTAATCAAGTACTTCCATTTCTAGGTATCATTTTTAATATTGCCTTAATGTATTTGCTTTCAAATAATTTCTAGTCAAACAGTAATACAAAAGAATATGCTGATGTCTTATGGCTTTTCTTTGAAATGTATTTTAAAGACTACTCTTTGTACAAAATAAATATTGAAAAATATTTTATCTATCCCAGAACTGAAGTGATATTCAGCATAGTTTTTGTTGTTGCTGAGAATAAAGTTATGATAAATAACTTAGAGTTGACTTAAAATTTTTATAACTTCCTTATAGGGCATAAACACTTTTAAGTGTTTGGTTTTTTTGTAACTTATTAAATATTTAATACCATTACTTGAGATGACAGCAAATTAAGACTATATTCTTTCTGGGACCTGGCTTTCTCTGAGATGACGGAAATTAGCAGACCGACAAGTTTGTCCATCTGCAGGACCACAGGGATAATGAATGTTTTCCTGTTGACTTGTCTATGAATCGTTCAGAAGGCGGCTGACAAATAATGGCATGAAAGCTGCATTTTCCTGTGGCTAGAATGAGTTGCTTTAAGTTCTTTCTTCAGTAAGCAGTTGAATATAATGTGAAATCCTGTCATTTATGATTTTGTTACATCAAGGCCCTAGGACTTTATATGGGAGCTATAGCTACTATTTTTTGTTTGATTTTAAATACTACTTGTGAAAAATTTTTACCTGTGATAAATACGCAAGACAAAGTACTGCTCCTAAAATACTGCAGATGATTATTTGTCTCCTAAGAACAAGCTGTTACTTGTTGGAAATCTCACGCAGATTCTGCGGGCAAACCTGGCCAGTAGTAAAGGCCAAATTGATAGACAATCAAATGCCTGCTTTGTAGGCAATTATTATAGGAATCTTACAGCTAGTTCTGCTCTTTGCACTGGAGTTCGTGGCTGCAGAGTAGGATCAGAGTCGCAGTGTCCTTTGGGCTGGACGAGGCCCCATCAGGGCTCTAGCCCAACCTCCTGCTCAGAGCGGGTCCAGCTATGAGATCAGATCTGGTCACTCAGGGCTTCATCCAGTCCAGCCTTGAAACCTCCAGGGATGGAGATGACGCAATGTCTCTGCACCCCTGTTCCGATGCCTGGCTGTCTTCATGAGGAAAACGTTTTTCCTCATGTCTGGCTGGAACCTCTCACTTCAGTTTACACCCGTTGTCCAAGTTGCAGTCTCCAGTTAAACTACTATAATTGATACTAGATCACATCAAATACTTTTAACGTGTGCTGGTTTTGGCTGGGGTAATTTTCTCCACAGCAGCTAGTGTGGGGCTATGTTTTGGATTTGTGCTGGAAACAGTGTTGATAACACAGGGATGTTTTCGTTACGGCTGGATGTTTTCGTGACTGCTGAGCAGTGCTGACACAGAGTCAAGGCCTTTTCTGCCTCTCACCCCACCAGCGAGTAGGCTGGGGGTGCACAAGAAGCTGGGAGGGGACACAGCCGGGACAGCTGACCCCAGCTGACCAAAGGGATGTTCCACACCATATGACGTCATGCTCAGCGTATAAAGCTGGGGGAAGAAGAAGGAAGGGGCGAAGTTTGGAGTGATGGTGTTCGTCTTCCCAAGTCACCGTTACACAAGATGGAGCCCCACGTTCCTGGAGATGGCTGAACACCTGCCTGCCGAGGGGAAGTGGTGAATGAATTCCTTGTTTTGCTTTGCTTGCGTGTGCGGCTTTTGCTTTACTTGTTAAACTGTCTTTATCTCAACCCACGAGTTTTCTCACTTTTACCCTTCTGATTCTCTCCCCCATCCCACTGAGGGGGAGTGAGCAAGCGGCTGTGTGGGGCTTACTTGCCGGCTGGGGTTAAACCATGACACAGGTTAAGACAACTCAAACTAAACTTCCTAAAGTTGTCTAAGAAGGGGATTCCAGCTACATGTAGTAGATTTAACTGTTTTTGTTATGTAACTGAAAATGAGTAAAATAATTGAACTTGCAGAAGAGACAGCATTCATGTGCTTAACTTGTTGGGGTTCTTTTTAATAAAATGAAATTGTGTGATACTTTAACCTTGCCACCATCAGGACATTGTACATTCTTTTTTTTGTCAACCTGGTTTATAAAAGCTAATTGAGTTTTGCTTCACAGCCTAAGAACAGGCAGCCAACATTTACATGTTAATAATAAAATCTGAATAGGAAGTATACAATTTCCAAGGCAACATTATCACACGTACTGACTTATGTAAACTGTTTCAAAGATACATAAAATGCTTTAGTTTCACTTTTTTGCCTTTTTTGTACTAAAAAGGATGTTAATACTTCTTCCAATACTTGAGGTAAATTTTTCACAATATTCTGTAATGTCAAACTAATTTCTGTTCAAAGATATTTTGGTTAAAGTGCAAAAATTCACTAAAGCGTTTTGGAAGATAAGCATTTTGTGTATATTTTCAGACTTGCAAGAAAACATTTCACTTGTCAGATATTTTATTATTTTGATTATTTTAAAAAATAGATACACATTCATGTGTCCTTGCACTGCAGAAGATTTTAGAGAGAAAATTTACTTTAGAGTGATCCACATCTTTGGCATCAAATGACGTGAAAGGAAATTACAAAATGGTCCCCGATACCTTTAGAATCTGTGGACAATGCAGCTTTTATGGCACCAAACACTCTACTAGCAAAAGTGCTTGTGGAAGGCACGCCGTATGGCTTTTGAGTCTCAGGCTAGTTCCTGTATGATGGTGCAGCTTCAAAGTATATGTATGTGTTACGTTTATTTCTCCTTGCAGTTCAGAAAGACATCAAAGGCACGGCACGAAAGGCCATATTGCATACTGCTGTTGCAATAAATTCAGCTATTGAAAAAGCTGTACATTGTCCATTTGTACTGGGGAGCAAAGTAACATTTTTTTTCCCCCTGGATTGTACTATTTCACCAAAGCTAGGTGGCAGTACAAACTTATCTAGCTGAAGAAACTTCCTGTAGTAGCAGAGCAGTGGTTTGAACCATGTTTCTATTCAGTCATTTGCCTTTCCGCTGAGTGGCTTCTGAAGGTGTCTGTTTGGATGATATTTAGCTGAAAACTTCACAAGTAAACCCCAGCTAGCTCTCCAAATGACTTCCTTATTAAGTACTTTCAGGTAAAGGGTGGTACATCTAAAGATAAAATTTGGCCCAGTAAGGTTGGCATTTGGAGTCTTTTGGGTATATGTTTCTCTGTTTTGTCATCATGGGAAGTCTTTTTTTTTTCTCCAGGTCCTGGAAGAATGCCAGTACTAAATACTACTATGCTAAGTACTATAGAAGAATCTTCAAATAAATAAAAATAAATACTTGCTTTAAAAAACCCCACATAGAAGTATTTCATTGGAGAAGTCCAAAATATCACGGCAGCAATATCTGAGGAAAGGATGAAAGAACTAATTCTGTCACGCTTGCAAGTACCAGGTTAAAGATGGCTACAAATTATGACCTCCAATATGTTACTCTTTCCACAGCGGAGAGAGGATTCTGTGCTGCATCTCCAGGCTACCCCACAGAATTCCCTGCTCTGAATCCACCTTTGACCTTCCTGGTTCTGGCTTGCCTGGGTGTCTAAGTCTCTGCAGTGTTGTGGCTGTGCCTGTGAAGCCAAAGCTTACGAGGTTACCTTCAGAAGCCCAGGAGAGCTTCTGATAGCCGTTGTCTACATCCATGCGCTCTACTTACAGTCCTTCTTATTGGTTTAAGCTAATTTACCCTTGTAAAGCTGCCAAATCAAGATGAGGGAGGATTTCTTCCTGAATGTCTAATCAAAAGATTATTGAAACTTGAAAATGAACAGAATAACTCACGCTAATGTGTTTGAGATCTTATTTTCCAGGATTGGCCAAATGTGACTACTTTCTAGAAATCCTTCTTTCCGGCAAGTAATTCTTCTTCTCTTTATCTTTAGTGTTCTTCTGTCTGTTTGAAACCAGATAGATATATGGCATTTCAAATATTACTGTGAGACTTCAAAACAAACTGTTTTACCATTTTCATCTTAGAAAACCAACAGTACTCTAAGGTGTAGTCCTCCATAGAGTTCAAGGAAATAAAGTGTATTTTGTAAGAGCGAGTGAGCTCAAGACCAGTTTTCTTGTCACTGATGTTTCTCCTGGGAATTAACCTGAATCTTAAATTCTCCATTTTAAAATCAAACGTTTATTTGCCATCTTAGTCATCTTTGTTTCCACTTGTAAAACTCCAGCTGTCTCTTCTGTTCTTGTCTTGAGGGATGGGTTTGTATTGCCTTTTGAAAAAGCCAATCTGAAATACATAATTTTGGAATCTGTTGTCAGATCTTTGTTATCAAATCTAAACCGTAAAAGATGAACTAAAATAAAATGCATATACATGGTGTTTATGAACAATGGTATTTGCCATTGCTTTGTCATACCAAGTAATCAAGTGTTACTCATCAATCAAAAAAGTGGGTTTGCTTTTTCTTTTACTTTTTGGGAGGCTAATACTCTCCCGCAAGGAGTAAGGACATGTGGGCTCGTGAACTATAACAGTCTGCAGAATCC